CCCAACCTGTCGTGAAAATGTACTGAATACTCAGTGCGTGTGAAAACACTTGCAAAATATATTTGCAAGTTGTTCTCCAGTGAGACTCGAACCCACATTCTCCAGATCACTAGCCTGGCATCATGCCTATTTTTGCAAGTGTTTTTCACATGTACTGAGTATTCAGTACATTTTCACGACGGGTTGGACACAATTCCACCTATATGTTCTATTGATGATGTTGTCAATATTATAATATATCATAGATTCATGAAATGCTTAATAGGCCCTGAACGATAACATGACTTGACCATACTGTAGTTTGTTCTCAATATTCTTTAATTTTTTTAACAAAATATTTTTTAGATATTTCTGAGCGTTAATGCTGTACCGTATTTGTTTTTAAAAACCTCAGAACGTATAAGCATTCAGAGTTTCGCCTGAGTAGACCCCACTAGAGGCTCTGTCTCTATGTCCGATCAGGTGCATTTTTACCAATTTTACCTAGGGCCCTGCAGTTATATATGCCATAGTCACCAACTGTCACGCATCACTTCAAAGTGATATTGGATGAAACGCATTTTGCAGAAACACATGCGCGGTCATAAATGTGTCACGCATTTGCACTTGCGTGATAACGAATTATCACAAAATCAGGGGAAAACGTATTTGAAATTAGAAGAAATTGGTTTTATTAAAAATATAAAAACGGTATACAGTAGCTTGAGTCATTAGGGAGCTTTCTTTATCTCGTTCGAGAATCAATTCACAGAAAAAATTTTTCCTTTCCGACCAAAACAACCCAGCCAACCACGCACTTGTAGAATCTAGTAGTCGCGAGCAGTCTTGCGAGTTTATTGTTACAACCAACCGTTTAAAATGTGATGGGAACCTGAACTTCCGCAGGGGTTCCGTAATAATACCGTATACACTCGCGTAGGTCCTATAAGGTGACCCGTGTATAAGACGACCCCCGAGTTTTAGAAGATTTTTGGTTGATATTTGTATGGCGTATAAGACGACTCCCTGTTTCATGGTCGGAATTCCTAATTTTTTGTGGTCCTGTATACTGCGTCTAGCTGGATAAATGGAGCCAAATGCAAGGG